TACGCGATATCCACAGTTTGAGCTTTGGACGACGCCACCCCTCGGCGATATTGCTCTGGTACTCAGGGTGTTACAGGTGCGACTCAACACCTGCTTTGGGTTTGTTTTTCCAGTGTCCTTCCGCCCCATCCCGGCGCGCGCTCTCGCCTTGTCTTTCAGGGTGACCCCACGCGGCGTGAGGACTTCCGGTCAGCGACGCCATCGCACCCCCCGCACCCCATCCCCATATAGCCGCGCTTCGTAGAGGCACTGGCACTTCGATCATATTTTTTTTAGTCTATTTCCGGCCCACCTCCAGCGTAATTACTGGCCGGAAGTTCAATCGCGGGCCATCGACGGCTATGCTTGACCCGTCTGGCGCAAGTGCGCGGCAGCGCGGCACAGTGTACGGGAACTTGTTCGGGGAACTGAGCGAGGGGTGGCCGCGCCAGGCAGGACCCTCCTGGAGCTGGCCGCGCCCCGCCCCGCCACGCCACGCCTCGCCGTCTCCATCCCCTCACTTCCACTTCCGCCCCTTCCCTGTGATGCTGCGAGGAGAGTGTATACCCTGCCTGCACTGCCACGGCTGCACCGTGAAGGCGAATCGTCGCGTTCAGTTCGGCCTGCTCCGCCGCCCCCACTCGCTCTCTGTCGCACTCCATGCCCTCCCCCCATACCCATGTCCTGCCCCCCGCGAGGTTCGATCCTTTCTCAGCAGCTGAGGCCGAGGCACGGGGCAGGGAAGCAAGCAGGTGCAGCTTCACTTGCTGGACCACGGCTCGGGCAGCGAGTGCAGCGCAGCAACTCCGGGGACGAACAACTCCCTTTCTGATGCCGCAAATGACATCAACAGCCCATCTACATAATGGGAGTCCTCTTGTTTTGCGCTGCATTTTGTTTTCCGTGAGCGGCCGACGTGCGGGTGCTGGTATTGTACGAGAACGGTCGAACTTCCCCTTATAAACCCTCCCCAAACCCACCCCCAGCTTCTAAATCACGATGTGGAAAATTCACTCGACAGATCATATTTCGGCGAATGCCAATCTGTGTGCGGCGATACGATAGAGAACGGGAGGGCGGCGGCGGCTCTCGGTCGGGAGGAGGAGGTTGTAGTATATATCGGATTAAATTCCACCACCCCCAAGCGCGCAAGCGCGGGGCAGTTGTGCGGTAGGGTGGAGGGGAGGCGGTGTGTGGGGGTGGTGAGGGGGGC